AGCTGACTTTATATACCGAAGAATGCGAACAACTGCATCCCAGTGACTATCACATGGAGAATCCATAAACTGACTTACAATACTCACCGGAAAAGAAATGTCAGGTCTAGTCACTGTGAGGTAATTCAATTTGCCAACCAACCTCCTATATCTCGTAGGGTCTCTAAGAGGCTCCCCATGTCCAGGCAGAAGCTTAGCATTCGGATCCATATGAGAGTCAATAGGTCTGCAACTCATCATTTCAGTCTCCTCAAGAATGTCTAGNCTGACATGACTCACACTCTAGAGCTGACAAGTGAGATAAACCGGATACCATTTTCTGAAGTTTTAACAAACTGGGATGTCCCAACTGTTTATGTAATAAATCTGGTGAATCAGTAACACGACAAGTTGTAGAAGGAAGACAAGATGTGAGTCCATGTGATTTAGCAAGGATAAGGTAATAAAGTCCGTTTGATTCACGCCCGGTACCAATGATCCGCCCCGTACTGCGTTCCTGTTTGAACAACAAAAGCTATCTCAGAAGATGTCTGCTTACATGCTTTATACTGAAGGAACTCAATATACTTTGCTAAAGAAACCATCCGACTATTCAAAGCATCGGTTCCCATATCGCTACAATTTGTAGTAGTAGGGTTAACTTGAAATAGTGGAAATAAGTAACTCCTGTGAGAAAACTGAAGAAATAGCTTGAAAAACACTGTTTACAGCAGGAAAGCAGGAAAACAGAACACTGTTCTGTGCCGGAAACACTGTAGCTCGCCGGAAAATTCCAAAGTTGTCGGAATTTGTTGTAACAGGATGGATAGACTCAGAATTCCTTTGCGAGCAAGCTGTCTTGAAGAAATATTTTCAAAAAATGGCCAAAAAGGTCACTGTTCACGCCGGAAAAATATAAAAGTGGCCGGAATTTGATTTGAATTAGATGGGTAGGCTCGGAATTTTGAGGAGAACACACTGTCCTGAAGAAACTTCGAGAAAAAATGGCCAGAACCCTCGCCGGAAAAGTTGTTGCCGGCGCGTGGAGGAGCGTGGTGGCTTTTCTGCCGGATAAAATTTCAGGAGTTGGTAGTCGGAGGGTGATCTACCTCGTGGTGGTGTTGGTTTTAGCACAACACCGACAGAAAGTGACTTTCACTTAGACAAGCCTTAGGTCACCGGAACAATTACACGATGACTAAGTTCTTTCTTCCCGGTTAACGCTGGAATGACGCAAAGCGATCTTTTCTCACTAATGCTCTGATACCATGTGAGAAGGCACGGGAGAAAATATGTTATTGATATTGGATGATAAATACAATACAAGAGGTCCCTATTTATAGCTATACACTACAAGGAGATATTACTCCTCTTCCAATGTGGGACAAGACTACACTATACATATCTATAAACTAACAGGACAAGTTAAATCCCTAAAAGTCTTATTTACACATTTTTGTGCCTTTTGTTCAATGCTTCTTAGGTACATGCTACTGTTACTCGAACTGAGGAACCAAAATGGTGGGAGCGAAATGCAGGGCCTAACATGGTTGACATTCATTCTACAAAAGAATTCTTGGATGCTCTTAGTCAGGCTGGAGAAAGACTTGTTATTGTAGAATTCTATGGAACATGGTGTGCTTCCTGCAAAGCACTATTTCCCAAGGTAAGCACTTCTTTCTGCACCCATTATGAAAGCCTATAATTTTCCCTCCATGCTGTTATCTCTGATGTAAAAGAGCAAGTTTCAAGAAGATAGTTCATCTCTTTCAGCAACTTCTAAAGATCTTATTTTGGTAGCTGTCTACTCATATGAAGTGGGATCATTATAATCTGCTCTATACGTCCATTTAGAATATAATTCCATGGCATTGACATGGTTGTGATGCTTTCTGGTTAGAGGGGCAAAATCACATTTTCCTTATAACAAGTCGTTTTCTCTTGTGGATCTTTTCGTTGGGTCTTGTTATGGGAAATGGTAACGTTTGTATTCAATGTAGCACAAAGATGTTCTAGTAGATTCTGTACAATAATCCAGTGGCTTAAAGTGTGAAAAAAGAAGAAGCAAGGGTATAACCATTTCTAAACATGTCGGCACTCTAACAAGTCTAAAACCGATTCATCTTCACATACAAGATCCATTCTGCACCAAAAAAAAAAAAAAAAA